GTCGACTGCTGAAAAGATAATCGTAAAATTATTAAACCAAACTGCAACATCGCAAAAAAATAATAAGCAAAATGTTTGAAATGTGGCCTTATCTGGCATATACATAAGATATTTGTAAAACTTTGCAGTCTTGTTAAATGAAAATGAATCATATTGTAGTGTGCAAAACATTAAATGTTTTTTCTTGCAATTCATAGAAATGGGTCGTGTAATTCGTGCACAGCGTAAAGGCGCCGGTTCCGTCTTCAAGGCGCACGTCAAGAAGCGCAAGGGAGCCGCCAAGCTGCGTTCTCTGGACTTTGCCGAGCGCTCTGGCTACATTCGAGGCGTCGTCAAGGTGAGTTTTTGTTGTCATATCTGGCAACGGCTGCACATAGATATGATGGTTAATTGACTGGTATTTGTTTACTGTTTTTCTTTTAGGACATTGTTCACGATCCCGGTCGTGGTGCTCCTTTGGCTGTCGTTCACTTCCGCGATCCCTACCGCTACAAGATTCGTAAGGAGATGTTCATCGCCCCTGAGGGCATGCACACTGGCCAGTTCGTCTACTGCGGCCGCAAGGCTACTCTGCAGATTGGCAACGTAATGCCACTTAGCCAGATGCCTGAGGGTACCATCATCTGCAATCTGGAGGAGAAGACCGGTGATCGTGGCCGTTTGGCGCGTACCTCTGGCAACTATGCCACCGTCATCGCCCACAATCCTGACACCAAGAAGACTCGTGTCAAGCTCCCATCGGGCGCCAAGAAGGTCGTCCCATCGGCCAATCGCGCCATGGTCGGCATTGTTGCCGGCGGCGGTCGCATTGACAAGCCCATCCTGAAGGCCGGTCGTGCCTACCACAAGTACAAGGTGAAGCGCAACAGCTGGCCTAAGGTGCGTGGTGTTGCCATGAACCCTGTGGAGCATCCCCACGGTGGTGGTAACCATCAACATATTGGTAAGGCGTCCACAGTCAAGCGTGGCACATCCGCTGGTCGTAAGGTCGGTCTCATCGCTGCCCGTCGTACTGGTAGGATTCGTGGTGGCAAGGGCGATAGCAAGGACAAATAAGCGAGATCTGGAGGAGTACGTTCCGTCTGAAATCGGCGTAGTGCTTTACAGTGTTACGTTGTTCAGTATAATTGTGCATATGTATATGGGGAAGCTGTATGTGGTCAACATGCAATTGACACGACGGAATAAAATTTATTTCTAAATAAAACAAAACTATCTGTTTTTAATATGTATAAATATAAAGTTTGATAGTAAGTATTAAATTTTTTCAATAGGCGGGAACTATGTACCCGTTCATTGCAGCAAAGTTCTACTGTATATCGATATGACTGCATTTTATATCGGATAATAAAATTGTAGTTTAACAGATGTGGTAAGCACGAATGAAAAAACATCGACTAAGCACTGTTAAGTTGCATTGATCACCTTGTTGCGCTGTTATATACCGCTCATAAATTCAACAAAATGTTAAATGCTACTGTTGCTTCTCAAACGACAACAGAGCTTACTCATTTTGTGTTGTTGCACTCACTGTTGTAACAGTAGGCACTGTTAACAGACTCAATTGCTTAGTGTTGCTGTTAAGCTGCTTCTAAAATAATGAAAATAAATGCACGAGTGTGTTGGTGCGTTGTGTTGTGTGCGGACACTGAAAAATCAAAGCAATATATTTTGTTTTAAATAAACATAAACTGAAATAAATAATGGATCGTACATTCCACGAAGGATGGCTTATAAAATCGCCGCCCTCAAAACGAATTTGGCGTGCTGTAAGTTTATTGACCAATACAAATGCAGTAACAAAGCATTTTTGTTACTTTTGATGTAGCCTCGATGCAAATGGCAAATGTTCAGTGAAATGTGCAAATTGAAAGCTGCAAGCAAAACTTACGGTAAAACAAAAAATTCATAAACACCGACGGCAAACAAGAGAGAAAAGGAATTTAAGGCAATTTTTCCGCTACTTCTACACTGAGTCATGCAAAGAAGCGCACGCACCAGCTAGTGGCATTTTTCTTGTACAATTACGCTCTGTATACATTTTCAGTGTTTGTATGTGTGTGCATGAGCGTGAGTGTGACTATGTATGTGAGAGTATGTGCTTGTGTTTGTGATCATTTGTTTGTGCTGTGTGTCCGATAATCATTTTTAATTCATTAATAAGCGGCTGACGGGCTGGGCATGGGCTGCATGGCAGATGAAATCGAGTAGTTGTTGCCGTTGTTGTTGCTGGTGATGTTGTTGTTGTTGTTGCAAATGCTTGACGAAGTGATTGAAAAGCAAAACAAGCAAAAATTATAATAAAAAAAACCGCAAGCTAATTGTTTAGTTGTTGCTGCAAATTTGTAAACTGTGAATGAGCTATTTTCAATGCGCTTGTGTATGTGTGTGCCTGTGTATGTGTGTGCTGCGTATGTGTATGCTTATGCTTGCGCCTTCTAGGCGTGGGAAAATATTTTGTGAGGCTGCCCTCAAAGTTTACGGTTAATTAAATGTTTACCCTGCGCTAACCGTTAAGCGCCGCTAGCGGTGTTGTTAAGATATTAAATTACAACAGTTGAGCAACTGTTGCACGTTTGATCAACATTTTACTCCCAAGTAGAAAGTGTAGCCCCAAGCACAACAAAAAATGAAAAAAAAAAAAAAAAAAAAAAACGATTAACGAGGCATATATATACGTATGCATATGTAGCTTGGAATACCCTAGACTCCAATTTGAATAGGGTTATATAGAATTCACCTACAAGATTTTTATATCCGGTGGTTAACCCATATTAGGCAGACAGCCCTGCTGAGAGTGAGCAAAGAATAGGCATTTACATATGTATAATGTGAAAGGAATAGAGAGCAAGATCAGCCATCGATCGTAGTAGGCTGTCCGCTCACAGGTCTTGTGTGAGTGAGAGAGCCCAAGCAAACATAAAGTTGGGGTGGGCCTGCCACACACATTGTTGTTATTCTTACACATAACTGTTCTATATGTAATGTTACTAGAAGGAATGGCGAAAGTATAAGAAGACAGGGAAACTCATAGCCATTCACTGTTGACTAGCGTAAGCCTGTTATGTATATACATACATGTATATATGTGTGTATTTATGTTCAGCTGTATGCATGTAAATAAAGATGTGCGTATATATGTGTGTGTGTGTAAACGATAAGCCACACAGCACACATAAAAACAATGACGCACTTGTTGCTATTGTATTTGGGTTGCATTATTATTAAGGCACAAGCCTTATATAGAGGGACTAAACGCCCTATTCAAGCCCTGCCCTATGCCAATTTGTATGCCAAGAAAATTAGTTGCCTATTATTGTTGTTGTTGTTGTTGTTAATTTCTTCTTCGTTAATTCTGTTACGCCTCGGGGTGCCAATTTCTCCATGTCCCACCTATGTGTGTGTGTGTGTGTGTGTGTGTGAATGTGTGTTTATTGTTTATAATTGAATTAAGCGTGAAACTGTGCAGACAACAATGCAAATTCGTCTGGCCAAATTCATAAAATAATATCCAAGTCAATTATGTTAATAAAAGTGCGAATACTCTTTGTTCGGTATTATATTAAAGATATATATTATTATAAATGTATAATGAATACGCATATATTATCACATATTCTTTATAATCATCTAGTGATTCATATTGTTTTCCCATATTTCCGCTGCCAAGCATAATATATAACTATACTAATTCTTGACTCATGTTTGAGTGCGAGCATGCCGAACTAGTTGGCATATGTACATATATATAGGGTATAAATTATACGCAATTTCGTGTCTTGATCTTGTTATTTTTTGCCATTAATTGGCATTGGTCCAGTTTTGTCGATCAAGGCAATTCCATGAATTTTAACTTAATTCCAAATTATTATATAAATGCTTATAGAATATGTGGGAGCTATATGGCTATGTGTATCACAGACTACTAGAGAGCAATGGAAAATGAAAATTGATTCATTGTCAAAAAATAGTCGAATTGATAATTAAAAAGTTTTTATCATTGTTATCAAAGTGTTATTAAACATTATTAACTTATAAGGCAAATACAATTAGTTTTTTGGTGGGTTTTTTATTAGAAAACTTAGCACGTTCCAAGCAAGTGAAATGAGCGTGACAGAGCGCACTTCCGACCCTTGAATGATTTGCTTTGATTACACGTTTTGACGAGATGCATATTTGTTTTTAACTATATTCATTCATTTTATTTTATTTTTAAAAATACCCCTTAAACACCTTTGAGTTTAAGCCCTGGTTAGAAGAGATCAGCTCCCCTTAACCACATATGTAGCTTTGTGGTGGTGTCAATATACGGTCTTCAGTTATGGGTCAATACTTTGGGGTGTGAGCTGCTGATTACTCAAGAAAATGTCAATATAAATATTCGCGGAAAATTAACCAGCGACGTCAGCAGCGACGTCGGCAGCACAGCAAGCGGCGCTTACTCATCAATGCTGATAGCTGAGCGGTCGCTGCTGCAGTTGCTGCAAGCTTATCATCGTCATATCCAACATATGTATGTTAACTGTCAGACTAACTGTTCGACTGTCTGACCAGCTGTCCGACTGCCCGACCGCCCACTGGCCGCACCCCTGCTGCTCCTCGCTTGCCTATCTATCGTGTGTTAGTTAAGCTAAAACTTGTTGCTTCGGCTTTGTTTGTGTTTTTACAGCGCTGGCGTCGGCGCTGGTTCACGCTGAAACAGGGCGAGATACCGGAGCAGTTTTGCCTCGAATACTATACGGATCAGCAGTGCCGCAAGCTGAAGGGTGTTATCGATTTGGATCAATGCGAGCAAGTTGACTGCGGCCTGCGCTTGGAGAATCGCAAGCAAAAGTTTCAGTATATGTTCGACATTAAGACGCCGAAGCGCACATATTACTTGGCTGCCGAGACCGAGGCAAGCATGCGCGACTGGGTGAACTGCATCTGTCAGGTGTGCCATCTGCATGACACGAAGCAATCCAATGATCTGCCACTGGGCGCCACAGCATTATCAACGGCAGCAGCAGCCGCTGCCGCTGCAGCAGCAGGTGAGTGTCATTTGAATCTAATAACTGGTCCGCAGTTCACTTTCACCTGGCCAATTTCTTCCTTTCACTGCAGACGGGAATCGCAGCGCGCAGCAGCATACCAGTTCGAGCGGCGCCCTGAGCAACTCCACACAAAACACGACAACCACTTCGTTGCACTCCTCGGCTGGCACCACCGCGGCCAATTCGCTGCTGCGCCGGCCCGCGGTCATTGATCAGCAGCCGCAAAGCTCGAACAACAACTCCGACTCGGTCTACGTGAATACGGACTACAACAATCGCGAAACGTTGCTCTGCGATGCCCACTTCGATCAGCAACAGTTGCTCTCGGCGGCACAGCAACAGCCGCCACCGTCGCCCGCAACGGCGCTCTATTTGAATCAGAGCGCATTGATCCAGGCGCAGGCTCAAGCGCAAGAGCAACAACAACAGCAGCAGCAGCAGCAGCAGCAACAGGCACAGGCACAGGCTGCAGCACGTCTCGCCATCAACTCGAATGGCGTGGTACGTAAGCTGCCCGAGCATCTGGTCTTAAATCAACAAACACTGGCTGAGGCCATATCCCAGCAGCATGGCAGCAGCGTGCAGGCATCGCCGGCGCTGAGCACCGCCTCGGGCCCCTATATACCCATTAGTGAGTGTTTTACGGGAAGTCCGAAATTTTTAATGGATAGCCAGGCCAATGCGGCGGCTGCTCTCAACAATTTGGATCCCAAGTTCTATGATACGCCGCGCAGTCACAACAACATTGGCCTCAACTTAACCAACGATCAATCCTATTCACCCAAAATTACGAACTGCAGTCTGGTGAGCTCATGCAGACTCGGAAAACATCTGGACTTTTCGTTAAAGTGAATATATTTTCTATTGCAGCAACAGCTGGCAAATTCTAGTGGGAAGCAGCGCAGTCAACGCTCTGACTCGGACTCCGAGAGCGTTTTTACAGACGACGACGAATGGGCGCATCCGTTGCCGTTACGTGAGAATGTTGGTAAGCTATTGAAAGCACAAATACTTATAAAGATACTTCTACATTGTATAATTTATAATTTTAATTAATAAATTGTGCACTTTTAGATCGCAGCACACGTCCTTCGGATAGCTCCATTGAGAACGAATCCTTTGTGCTAACCTTCGCGCAGCGCTTCTCTAAAATGCCAGAAGATGGAGCTGCCTTGACGCCGACAGCCGCTGCCCGGCATGCCAAGCAACTGGCTGCCATACCGGCCACAGCAGCCGATGGCGCTGGCGAGCATCATACGCTGGAGCGACTGGCCAAGGTGCTGAAGAACAAAAATAACCTTATACTGGACTTTAAGGACAACGAAAAGTAACTAGAAATCTCAGCTCAGCTTGAACCATTTTAAATATATTTCAAATTTATAGATTACAACGCGATTTGCCGCAGCTGTCGGACACGGAGAACACATCGCCCGCGATTGTGGCCGCCAATGCCAGACACGCGAATTCCTCGTTGATCGAAGAGAGCTATGACATTCCACGCTCCCATCAGTTGCCCTATTGCAATGTGGGTCAACTGTTGGGCGACCGGCCGGTGACCAGTCCGCACAATAGCAATCCCATAGCTGCTTCCACGCCCAATCTGATGGCCGATATGGGAAACCAGGGGCTGCCATCGGCGGCTACGACGACAACGGCAACGGCAACAACAACGGCGGTTAATTCGCCAACCAGTGCACGAACGCTGCCGCGCCAGCATTGTTATACGAACGCCGCGCCCACTCGCATGGAGGGCAATGTGTTTCGCTATGATTTCATTGAACAAGCCGATTGCCCGCCTGTTAATCGCAAGCTTAAGCCCAAGGTATCCAATGCGCCGCTGGAGGCAACGCACAAGAGTAGCGTGGAGGATAAGCCGCCCGAGGAGTTCCCAGCCAAGCCGCCAGTGGGCGCCATGGAGCAGCTGAGCAGCAAGTTGGGCGCCACCAAGCTGCAGTCCAGCGCGCCACCCAGTGTGGATCGTAAATGCAAACCCAACGCTTTCAAGGTATGGGTTACTATAGCTTCTCCATAAGCTTCATACTAAATTTGTAATCTCTTGCAGTTGGGCTCCTCGGCTACGATGTCGCCGTCGACGCGTCGCTCGTCGGGCGCACCGCTCTCGATGGTGCTGCCGCATGAAACGGATGTTCATTCGCCGGCAGCTATTGGCTATTTCCATGAGACGCGTACTCTGCCACGCCAGCAGCATCGGCAGCATCCCAACAGTCCCGGCAGCCAATCGGTGCAGCATCAACGCACAGCCTCTGCGGCAGCAGCAATGACCTCGACATCAGCCGCAGCAGCAGCAGCCGCTCAAGCGGCAGCGAACTTCAAGCAAATCCAGCAACAACAACAGCCGCAGCAGCAGCATCAGGAGCACAAGCTACAGTACTTTGATCTGGATGTCACCAATAAGCCGCAATTGCTCAATCGTCAGAGCATGAGCGTCGGCAATTTGTACTCCCAAGGCAAAGTTGCTCTGAGTCAACCGGCGCGCCTAGGCGCTAGTGATGCGGCTGCTGTGCGGGCGCCGGTGCAAAGCGGCGTTGTTTACAACTTTGTGGACTTTGTCAAGACGGAGGCGTTCAAGCGCATACGCGAGGAGCGCAACAAGGAAAGCAGTGACAACAATAACAAATGAGCTGCGCGCACGTTTCCAAATCCATGACTCACTCATTTTTTTTTGTATAATGTGCAATGGCGTCATGCGAAACTCTGATGTAGTGCCTGCAAATGCTGTCTGAACAGTGCAAACTCTAAGTGGCTTTCATATTCTCACACACATACACATATACATCCATATCCATATACATATATACATATACATATTGATTACATATAGCCAAATAAGTTAGTTATCGTAAGTTTTATTGTGCCCTTAGCACCGCTTCGTGTGCTTTTAAAAAAATGCTGCTGTGCATCTGTCTGTAAAGATGGTTTTTATGTCATTTCAATGTGCTTCCAATTTTCCAGATCAATGCATGTTCTAACCCCCTTTAAGTGCTATTTTATATATGTGCACACACTCACACATACACACAGATACATAAACTATTTATATACACCGCGAATTTTGTATGCTAACAATTTATATACAATTTATACTAAGTGTAAGTGTAACTCGTGTGCGACACAAGCTGTTGCTTGATATTGTGCTTTAATAAAAACAACATTTATAGAATTATATTCAACATGTTTGATTTTCAATGAATGTACCCTCTTCCGAGGTCCACAATGGGGTGTAAATAAACTCAAAAACTCTGCAAGTTGTATTTGTAATGTTGCTAGAGCAACAGTCGAATTTGTGTAGCAACCATTTGGAAGTTTTTCGAAACTAGGCAACAATGAACTTAGTTACATATATAACTTATTTAATTACTAGCTAGCATTACAAAAATATTTTCAGTACAGTACAGATTTCGACAGATATAATATATATCTTAATAAATATATATATATTTTTTTTATGCGCAAAAAGCAGGAAATTTCTTAGACTAAAGTCATGTCGCTGGTCTATATAACACATCACAATGAGAATATTATGGACATGGAGCGCGCTCCCGAGAAGCCGCCGGAAGGGGAGCCAGTAGTCCATGGTAGGAAGAGAGCAAAGTGAGTTGTATTGATGGAATATGTAATTTACGCCTCCTGCCCCACTCCTCTCTAGAAACATCCGCTAAGGCAGCTATTGTGGCCAAGGAGCGACGCGATCGTCTGAATATGGAGCACAAGAAGCATGCCGTTATCATGCTCAAGGGAGGCGTCCGTCTGCTCACCGATGCCAAGAAGGCACATCATCGCACCATGGGCTGTGCCAATGTGCCGCTCGATCCGCCGTGCGCCTTCTTGCGCAAGAATCAGGGCATCAAGTGGCGTCGCGAGAATCTGCATGTCTGCCCCAAGGGCGGCAACATGCCACCCCTGCCGCCGATGGGCAAGAAGATTAAGAAGCCGGACATGGTGCCCAATTTTGTGAAGCGTAATATGACTTGTGCCGCTAACACCGTGCGCTGTCCGCCACCGCCACGCTATGTGGACACGCCCACTGGCACTCGCCAGAATTTATTGAATTCGGGCATGGTGCCGCAGTATGTTTGCCGCAAGGACTTTGGCAAGGTGCCCGTTTACATACAGAAGACCAAGGAGATGCTCAAGGATGCACACCTTGTCTGCTGCAAGGAGCGAGCTCGTCTCATGGAGTTGTGTGGCGGTGTCAAGCCATCGGATTCAATGGCCGCCCTGACTCAGCCAGTGCGCACCGATGGTGCCCCACCTGAGATGCCCGGCATGCGCATCATGGACCAGGAGGAGCGCAATGAAATACTTGACGGTCTGCGCGCCCATCTGAATGAGATGACCAAGACATATCAGTCGATGCCCTTGCTGATCGACAGCGAGAACAAACGCCAGCGCAAGGGCAAGCTGGAGTGCGACTTGCGCCAGCTCGAGCAGGACATGCTGCTGCTGGAGACCAGTCCCATTATCTATGTTTCACTGTATTAAGTTACGTTGCCTAATTACGCTAACGAGCACTTATAATCTAAGTTCGAATAAAAATTTAACAGGTACATTTTAAGTTTCAAGCCCATATCAAAGCAGCCAAGTTTCAACTAGCTGAATTACAAACAGAAAACTCTAGTTGAAGCTTGCGGCATTGATTTGGTGTTGAAATTTAGAAGGCACTGTTCAAGTTTATGCATCCAATAACTCCAAGGCGTAGCTACCATGACAGTAGGGACACAGTAGCGTGCTGCCGGGTGGGTACAGCTCAAGAAGCAGCTGCTTTTCCAGCAAAACCTGACGTCCACAGAGCGTGCAGTAGTGACGTTCCAGCGAAGGACTCAGCTGGGGGAGTACAAAGTCGATTAGATATGGATATTTTTAAGATATATTCAGGTAGATATGCACCTGCATATAAGAGATCGCGCATAGAAGGTTTGGATCCTCCAGAGTTATTCGTATCTCTTTCATATTCAGCTTCAGCTGCAGCTGCTCAAATTGCTCCTCCATTTCAACAAGAAGCGCACTCTTGGTTGCCACATGTGTTGCCTTCTCACCCAGTAGCTGCTGCTTTAGCTGCTGTCGAATTCGTTCACTGGCTGCCAGTTGACATTGCGCCGACTGCCGCTGGAATTTGGTCAGCTTCTTCTGCTCGCTCAAGTATTGGAGACGCAGTCGCATATGCGTCAGCTCAATCATGTTCAACAGAAGGTGAAATTCCTGTTCGGTTTGCTCGACGAGAGATGGATTGCGTTGATCACGCTGTATTGTAATTATGGCTTCCAAGACGTGGTACTTAAGCTGCAGCCGTGCCTCTGTGGCCACATTCTCAAATGCGAAGCCATCGATTGGCGCATAGCTGAGATACTCATCCAGCTTGGTCCTTTGAAAGATATCCCAACGTACTTCCACCAGCAGATCCTTCCAGCTGTTCATGGATACACTAGGCGTGAGGCAGCGATCTAGCTGTGCCAATGCATTACTTTCTTCTATTTTGCAGACGTGTGCGTATACCAGATTACGGCGTATCGCCTTGTTGAACAGATACTCTTTGTTGCGGGTGGAGAGAATGGTAATGAAGTTCTTGTTGGGACTGCACCATATGCCTATTGGCAGTTCGTTCTCCGTATCGTCGACGTTGACCGAGCGCATGCTTGTGCTCAGCTGGCCGGGCTTGTGGCTGAGCTCGACCAGGCTTAGCTGTCCGCGGGCGGTGACCAAAGCGTAATTGTTGTTCGCGACGGCGCAGAAACCTTTTGATTATGAGAGGAGTATTATAAGGAGGTAATTAATAAGCAAGATTGTGAATATAGTTCACCTGTGATCTTCATGCCACCTACGTGTAGTCGGGTCTCCAACCACTTGCCACTCGCCTGCCTAGGCATGCACCAGATGAGCAAATGCGCTGCCTTGCAGCAGGCTATATAATAGCAATCTCTTGTCGGACAGTGCGTAATCACAGCCTGTTGCAGGCCCAGGTGATCCGGGCGCAGCCAAAGAGTCTTGACCAAGCAGAGACCCTCTCCCTCTGTGGCACTGAATCTGTAGAGATGCACTAGACCATTGTTGTCGCTCACAAGCAGCAGATCCTCGTAGCTCTGCATAAAGCAAATGCGCCCGAGAAGTGTCTGTAGTTCACTATGGGCTAAAATCGTGGATGCATTGTTGCATAAAGTCAATGTCCAAATACTGCCGGCAGCTGTGCCCAGGACGAGCACATATTTCCCGCCTTCTACTGGTCGCCAAGCGAGCATGGTTATCCAACTGCGATCCATGTAGGCCTGGTAGTGTCGAAATGTCTTGATCTTTGCAGCTGGCACTTCATACGGGCGCTGCAGGTTGTCCCGTAGTGTGGCGACCACATCGAGACCATTCCGGTAGTGCTCCCAGGCAGGTTGCTCTGGGCGCTTAGTCAACAAATGTAGTGCACCATAGCTGTTCAAGGTGGCCATTAGCATTTGCCCATCGGGCAAGAGGTGGTCGGCCAGCTTGGCGGCAATGAGATTGGGCACAGGCACATCCTGTGAATAGATTGCTGTGTACACGGAATCCAGACTGATGTGTTGCTGCTCCAGGACATTGCCGTTTTCATAGATATACTGGAGATTCACTTGTTCCGCCAGCAGGTCCAGTGGTCGTATTTTGTTGTCACACTTCCAGCTGGTCACGACATACGGAAAGGGCAGCTGATGGCTCAGCTTGCAGCTTAATTCGAGAGTAACTAGCTCCGCCTTGGAGCCCAGCAACGATATACAATTGCCATCGTTTGTATATGAAACAAAATCATGGACTAAATCCTGCCTGACTTCATATTTACACAGGACTTGAAAATGCAGAGCTGTTAAATAAAAGCAAAAGTATATATTAAGCAATTAAGTCTTCCTTTGCAATTTATTGCTTTTAATGCCTTTTCATTTAAATATATTTGCTACTCTTTAGTTCTTCCATTCAGTACAATTATCACACGTTTGCCGGGCGATGCAAGCGCAGACGCGTACAGAGCGAGCAAAACAAAAATGCGTGAATCTCACATGTCTCACGCTCGTCTAGACATTTTGTTACTTACACAGTCACACCATTCTCACACACACACATATTCACATTGTAAACTTTTCATTTTGCTCAAATTTATTCACCTTTGCCATCGCTAGCGTTTGCTTCAGTAGCTTTCTTCATTTCAAAGCGAATGGACAGCTAGAAAAAGCTAGCCGCAATGTCAGTTAAGAATGGCGTTGAAATGGTTAAAAAAGTAGCCGAATTTATTTCCAAAGGCACCAGTTTTGATCGCGTCACTCAAATGGTAAGTGACAGCCGAAAAATTTGTGTAAGGAAACGACGGAAAACAACGCACTGCACTAATCAGCTGAAACTTTGTTTCGATAAATTATGTAAGCAGGACTATCGATAAAGCGCTGTATTTGAATGTTGCAGGTTAAAATAACGAGTGGCGGCGAAGGGCGTTGCGTGGGCGAGTTTACGGTGGCAGCTGAGCATTTAAATCGCTTGGGCTCCCTGCACGGCGGTTTAACGGCCACCATATTAGATAATGTAACTACATACGCACTAATGTCTAAGGGCTCTCATCCCGGCGTTACCTCTAGTCTAAGTGTGAGCTACGTATCTGCGGCCAGACCAGGAGATGTTATAGAGGTGGATGCGAATACGCTGCATGCTGGACGCAAAATGGCATACATTGAGTGTGTGCTGCGCAATAAAGCGGATGGCAAGATCATTGCAAAAGGTGGACAAACCAAATACGTGGATTTCAACACAGAGTCAAGCAAATGAATGTAATCAGTTGTAAAACTAAATAAATAAGAGATAACTCACTTAGTTGTCTCTGTCTGCCATGGAAATGAGATGAGCTCCTTCATCTGTTGAATGTGGAGAACCATAAACTATCGATAGTCTGCAGCACTAAAACGCTCGTCTCTAGAGCTTATTGTTATGATTGTTTTTATTTGTTATCTACGCGTTTCGTAACAACACAAATATGGGCACACGCAAAAAGGGCTTGGAATTTGCTAAGCATATATCTGAGATTATAGCCAAAGCGACAGGATTTGAGCGGCACTTGGAAAAGGTTGATTGGTTGTGTAAGCGTTGGACTTGATGGATTTTAATGGACTCAATCATTTGTTAGGTAAAAATATTGGATGGCGGCGATGGAATTTGCAAAGCAGAATTTACAGTTGCCCCAGAGCATATAAACAAAGCTGGAGGATTGCACGGCGGCTATACGGCCACTTTAGTGGATATGATAACGACCTATGCACTAATGTCGAAGCCCTGCCATCCCGGCGTCTCGGTAGACATTAATGTTAGCTACCTGAAAACGGCTCGTGTGGGCGATGAGGTGCTCATCGAGGCAAACTTAGTGCGGGCTGGTAAAATGCTCGCCTTCATCGACTGCCAGCTGCGGCACAAAAAGGACAACTCAGTGATAGCCAAGGGAACGCACACAAAATACGTGAACTTTCAGTAGATAATTTGTGCTAAGTTTTGATACTGTGCTTTATTGTTTACAAGTGTAGCAGTAAATATTTAGTTAATTTGTTTAATTAATTGCTTGTGACTCTCTGTGCGTTATGGTTAAGAGTGAAAGACGGCTTCCATTCGATAAATTCTATAAATTTTGTGAGCGTTTAAGATAAAAGTCGTTTGAATTACGTTTCTATGTTTAATCTCAAATGGAAGCCGGCTTTTAGTGTTAATGTGGCTACTAAGTTTAAGAGGGGCGTTGATTAATTGTTAAGTCGATATGCAAATAGCTGTCTCAATTGTCCAGCTTCTTTTTGGTTGGCATTGTGGGGCAGTGCGGGCAGCAGGCCTCTGGCGGTGTCAGCGGTTCAATGCCCGGCGGGCAGCTGACCTCGCCGCACTGTTGGCGCAGACAGTTCACCTGGCCATGGAAACAATTGCACTTGGTGCATACATCCGGCGTCCAGACCTCGTTGTTTAAACGCGTGGTGCCCTTGTCATCGACGCAGTGGCTCCGTTTGGGTTTCACCACCGTGGGCTGGGGCGGAGCAGGCGCCACTGGTTCAGCTTCGACTGCATTGCAGGAGTACTCCAGCTTGCGCAGTTTCTTGTGCAGTTTTTTCAGTTCCTTCTGGAAGCTACCAATTAGATCCTCCAAGCCGCTAACACGCTCCTCGTTCACCTCGTACAGCGCCTCCAATGAGCTGTCGTAGCTCTCGGCAGTGGGAACCTCTTTGTCGCTGGATACATCACGCTTCTGGCGCTGACTACGCTTCGTGTAGGTCTGTGGCACGAATGTGTCGAAGAGCGCTGGCTGGCTGTTGCAAGTGCCGCACTCCTGCCACAGATACAGATTGATGCCGGGTATGTCCTCGCATGGCTTATACCCGCCCTGATGCTTGGCCAGTATGAAGACATTCTCCGTTACCTGATCGAAATTGTCGCCCACATCGCAGAGCACGCGTCCCAGGTTGGCCTGCTTAATCTGCACCAGCTGCTCGGGCTGGAAGACACTCGGATTCTCGTAGTAGAAGCGATCGCCATCCCGCAGCCGTCGGAACTGTTCCACCAATAGACACTGGAAGAGTGGGCCCACCTTGCCGCCCTCCACCTGATCCTCGAGTATGCCGCCCAGCCAGACATCAATGTTATCCGGATGACCATAGAGTTCAGCCAGCTTCTTACGTATATCCGCATTGGTGATCTCACCAGCCAGATCCTCGAAGTCCGTGGCCACGCTCAGATTGCAGAATTTCCTATAGACATTATAGCCGGGAATGCCGTGATCTCTGCCACGCTGTATGTTGATCGCAGCCAAATCGAGGGCCACAGCGTGAGCCGTCTGGAAGAGTTTCTCCGTCAGCTCCGTGTTCAGATTCTGATCGGGTAGCTTGAGCTTGGCGGGCACAGCGAGCATGCCGCGCATCAACGGATCCACTCCACCTTCATAGGCCAAGCGCCATGGAGCAAAGAAGGCCTTGTGGAGCTGCAGATGTCCCTGTGGTATGGGCTGGAAACTGGAGTTCAAGCGATGCAGTATGGGATTGATGATGGTGTGGCCAAAGCGCAGAGCAGCTGTTGCGAACTCATTGGCTATGCTCGGATTCACCTGGGGATTGTAGCCACGATATTCGCCCAACATGGACATGCCACTCTCGCCAATGATCAGAGGCAGCCACTGCTTGAACGTGATGTGCTGCATCTGAGCGCCCACAATCTTGCGCGACTCCTGGTACAACGTGTCGCCATCCCAGTGGGGATTGATCTCGCCCAGCTTGCGGGCAATGCGATTGTGCTCACGCATCCAAATGGTGTGCATGGCCAGCAGACCCACCTGCTCGTTGACTCGAATGTCTCCGGACACGAAGCAGTTCATCTGGTTCTCGTCCAGATTGCGGCGACAGTCCATGCCATCCTGTGGCGCAGCAAAGGGCAGCATGTCCTTCTGATTGGGGAAGTGGACGCCGACACGGAGCAGACCCTCGTCGGAGCTGAGGTTGCGCAGCTCCTGGGCGAAGGCCGTATTGTAGCCATACACCTGGGAGGCGTCTATATAGGCTGTCAACTGGTTGATCTGCTCGCGATGCTGAACACTGTCGAAGAAGAGGGAGGTCATGCCGGAGCCGCAGATGGCACTGGACCGCACCACGTCGATGCAGCGACGATTCTTGACGCGCGGATCATTCGGTGGCACCTCAATCGGATAGCAGGGTGGCGCCATTTCGCAGGTCTTCTTGCAATCGACACCATCCCAGCTCTCGGAGCTAACTGATGGTATGGCATGATCCAGATCGTGGTCCAGGAACTGACCCCACTGCATGACCATGTGGGTGATGCGGGCATCGGGCGTTATTTCCTTTGTGGCCACCAGTGAGGTGGATACCAGACGAGCACTGGGCTTGGGATGGCCCGCATACTTCAGGCCCTTGGTCCAGCCCACGGGCATGCTGAAGCCGTTCTCGTAGATGGGCGGAGCAAGGCGTCTGAAGGCAGTCAGGGAAGCGCCCCACGTGGGATGCATCAGATTGTTGCAAGTGCCCTCAATGCTGCGATATTTCGAATGGAAGCACATGTCCGTGCAGTTGGGCATCTCGCGATGCTCCATGCAGCCGGACAGCTCAGCCACCAGGTGCAAATGCTCCCGCGATAGCAGATCCCTGAACTCGTACTGCTCACTCTCCATGGTCAGATTATCGCCCTGCTGCACATGCTTCCTAATGTTGACCAGCGTGCGCTCATAGATCTCTGCGGCTCGTGCCAGCTGCCTGGCCTGGCCGGTGGGAAACCGGAAGACGCGCAGCAGCTCGCCATAGTTGGGTGGTGCACGCGACGAGCGATTGGAGAAGAGCATATCCAGGGTGTTATTGATGGCCATGTCGATTTCCTTGGCCGCCTCGGCGAAGGCAATGCGCACATAACGATCTCCAGGTGCCAGATCCACATTGTTCCTATGGAAAGGGAAGAGAAGAGAAGAAATGTGATTACAGGAAGGAGAGAAGATGACACCAGGGAGTAGAAACAAAAAAGAGACAAGCCATAAATACGAATTAGCTTGTTATCTCAGCATGAACTTAATCAAGACTGATGATAATATGCAAAAGTTTTAGTTGCTTGAAAAGTTGCCACCAAATTCCATAATTAATATTAAAAAAAAAAAATAGCCCGACTTTTCACAGTTACACCACGCTCTCTACTCCCTATTCCATACTTTAATTGCAATTAATTTTGCCAAGCATCGGAGGTGGCTTAAAATGCCGTTGTCTAATAAAAAGCCAGAAGCAAAGTTTACTTATTTTTAATTTTTATTTTCATTTCTATTTTCTTGCTTTTTTCAAGTTTTATGTTGAGCTGCTCTTCGGCCAGCGGCAGTCGCTGACTTGGCAACGAGCGAAATTATGCCACATTCAGTTGGTTTTTCTTTCTTTTTTTTTTCTCGTTGTTACAGCAAGGAAAATCCGCGCCAAGCTCTGCGCGGGAGGCATCAACAACAATTCATTCCACAACATTCTATGTGGCGTTGGCCGTCGCCGTTGAAGGAATTTCCCTTTTGGAAAGTTTCACTGTGTAAACTTTGCCATTGTCGGCGCGGTAGGTAATAACTTAACGACCATAATACACCCTGTTGCACCACAGCCACTGCTCAGTGCTTACCACTATCAACTATCGCACTACAGCGACTAAATGGCAACCACTGCCAGCCAACTGCAACAACAACTACATTTACTCGCAACTACATTTTTCCTCTCTCTCATCCTCACACAGACTCACAGACTTTATGTGTGCCTTTCTGTGCTCACTGCCACAGCCATTTTTGTGGCTGCGCTTTTTCTGGCATGCCGGTGCTTTTGTAATACCCTAACTTTTCAAGTCATACAGCGAATATGTCATGCAGTCGAGCATCTGTATATTTAAAGCTTAAAATGAAAAGTTGTTCATGTAACAGCTTTGTTGACAATTGTGTTTATTCGTYCATTCATTCAAATTAGCTTTTGACACGCAACAATTAGTGCTGCCAATCATATGTCAGACACCAGACCATGCTGTTCTTCCTTTAAATCTGCCTGGCTTGCTGATCACACACAGCCATTCTGTTATGCATATACAACATTTCTGCCATTCAATGCTGCAAGGCTCGCCTACCTCACTGTTAAAAGGCTCTCTCAGTTGGCTCTGTTACTGTTAAAGCAAATTAACAGCCCTCTTGCCAGCATCAGATTTTCGATATTTTCATACTAAGATCAAAAATGTGATGTCGCATTTTCAAGTTGATGGACCGCTTGGCATAAGCTGGTTTTATTCAATCCTGCTGGCTGAAAAGCCAAGAAGTACCATTTATATAGGCAACACA